CTTATACTTCCTTATAGGTCTTACTGCGTAGAACTGTGGGGGGCAACTTTTAAAACAATTATAAATTCAATAACACTACTAAAAAAACGAGCCATGCGTATTATTAACAAGACTGGTTACTATGATCACACTAACCCACTGTTTATTAATTCCAATATTTTAAAATTTAATGATTTGGTGTGTTATGAAATAACGCAAATAATGTTTAAAGCTGAATCAAAGTCCAGACTCTGTACAAAGGTTTTTTCTGTGCATGAGTGTAAATATGATTTGAGAGATGTTTGTACATTTACAGTGCAAAAAGCTAAAAAAAGGGATTAAAAGAAGATGCATGTCTGTTGTTGGAGTTAAGCTGTGGAACAGTGCCGATATATGTTTGGGGATGTGCAACTTGATTTTAGTTTTTAAAAGAATGATGTATAAAGCTATGATTGAAGGTTACAAATGTGAATGATCTTATTTGACATTATTGTTATCCGTCGTTTTATTGGAAGGGTTGGAAGATAGCTTAAACTGAACAATGTAGGACAGGCTTATGTAAGCATTATGCTTCTGCCTTTTTAGTCATCATTAAATTCACACAAAAATGAATTGTGCAGTCCAGATTGTTTTGAATTTACTGTATAATAGAATGTGTTGTTTCATTGTTTATAATTACTGTACTATGTGTGTGTGTGTGTGATGACTGAAATAAACTAAACTAAAACTAAAACTAAAAAAACGGATGATATAGACGGTCAAAATATGTTTTTGCTGCGGCCTCGTCCACTTCACATCCCCAGTACATTGTTTAGCTTCTGTGCTGGTAGATTTGATTTATCCTAGATGATAACAAATTAAATAAGCACAGGAGAAACAGCCCCCGATAGGTCCGACCACCGTGTTTAACTATGTATCTTCAACCATTACACTTAAGGCTATTTTGTGTGTGTTTGTTTTGCAGAGCTGATTGTTGTTCCACTGATATCTGTCCTGTTTCTACATCCAATCACTGTAAGATCTTATCTTGTGTGTGTTTTCTTGGCGACAGTTAGAGCCATAAGTACAGGTGTTAAGATTTGTGTTGAACACATTTGAGTACAGCCACATCACCGAGTGTGCCTGCACAAACAGAGATAATGCAGTGGTTACTTCTTCCCAGGTGTTTGTTGGTTGTGTTGAGTGTACATTGAGTGTATACACATGTCACAATACACACACTTGATAACATCACTGTAGATAACGGCTCGCTGTGCTCCAGATCACTCAGCCCTGTGCTACAAAACTATTCAGAAAAACCAGTCAGACAATGAATGAACTACATTCTGTAAGAAAGATGTATGCAGTGTTGCTCAAGAGCCAGGAAGTAAAAGGAAACATTAATCGAAGAGCAGTCGATGCACTTAGAGGGTAAATTGGTATTTTTCAACCTGGACTCTATTTTTCCATGTTTTTTTCTGTCTAAGTCACTGATGGGAACAATCACTCCTGAAATGAGAGAGACCTCTGCAGCCGAAAGCAGTGAAACAGGCTGCAGTGTAACCACTCCGGACATGTTCACACCGTCAGTGTACATCCACTACAAGTATTTGTTTTGCCACTGACAGACTCAGACTATCATTCTCAGTGTCTGACAACATTCTGGAAGTGATCCCCACAGAGATAGAGCTTTTTGTTAGAGATAAAGATCCTTTGTGTTGAACCAGAAACCGCCCAGAAATATTATTATTTAAATAAACATTTTACCATTGTATGACACACTTCATCTAAAGTCCACAGACACAAAATAAAACTCACAGAGGCTGTCTTAGTTTGTTTATCCACTCTTCCAACAATCACCAGCTCTGGAATGGCTGAAATAAACCATTAATTCACCCAGTTCACCCAGTTCACCCAGGTATACACTCTAAATTACTGTGGCAGAAATAACAGAGGTACCTCCAAAGCAACATCTCCATCATTTCACCTTCAGAATATGGATGTTGTAGAACACACACGGCGCACCTGCAGTTTTTGCCAGCACTGTTTTGAGAGAAAAAAATGAATATTTGTGGAACTCAAATGTTTGTGGCTGCCTCCAGTGATCCAAAAGTAATTAGATTACATTGTATATTTTTTTGTAATCTGATGGATTACTTCACTAATTACATACTGCATTGTAATCTGTGCTACATTTCAGGGTAATCTTACCCACTCTGTGATGGTGTGTTCTCACCAAATGCAGACCAACTTGTCACACTGCATTGCTTGTGTGTTTACAGCTGCTGAGTGTTTGGTTGTTTTTGGGAGTATTTTGCAAATGGTGAATGTAACAGCTGTGTGACGGTCGTACTAACTGGGGAAGGCAGCCAACGGCTAACTTGGTTTGCAGTAAAGAACAACTGACAGCTAAAACAGAGGCTCCGTGTCTTTGAACCACCATGAACCAAGACAGCAACACTCAAGTGTAGTTTTCATTGTTTCATTTCATATTATTTTACTTCCCACAATAAAAGACAGAGCAGTGGTTCCCAACTGGTGGGTGCAGTGAATTTCCAGCACAAAGCTTTTACACTGAAGTGCTGTTTCCTGCTGTAGAGTGAGTGAGTGACTAACAGATAGCTCCTGGACAGAGACAGCAAACTAGCTGGACGACAGACACAAGTATGATACTGAATATATTAAACTGTGTGGACCTTGAACTTGTGCCAAAGCAGAAATCTGGACCCAAGTTGGGATCCATTGACTTGCAGCATTTTGCAAAGAGGCAACTCAACAAAACAATTTGCACAAGTCACAAACACATATTTTAAGGACTGACGATGTTGTCCTGTGGATTTGCTCAGTTTTCTCCGAGCCCTCTCCTTTATATTCTGTCTCTATTAGATACTGACGTTAAGTGGTAGAGCTCCAGGTGGTCACAGACGGCGACATTGTTTGTTCTGATCCTCAGTAACGTCAAGAGAATCTCAACTAGAGCTCAGCGCTGAGAGGCTCTGGGGACACAGCGTCACACCAACTTCTCCCTCAAGTTGAAAAATTCAACTGATGCTAAGATGTGAATAGTGCGTCTCTGCGTCATTTGCATCACACGATTCAACGGAAAACATGAGGAAACATCACAAACTGCTGACATCATCATCTCACAGTGAAGTTTATTCATGCTGTGTGACGACGCTCAGCTGCACAGACACAACACCAGAAAGAATACATGCAGTGATCCTACATGCAGACACATTTTGATTTCAGTGTGTCAGCAGCGAGGTTTCTCCTCCTCGGCGCAGGTCTTGGTGATGAAGAGTCTTTTGAGGAAGAGGAGCTGCAGGTACCCAGAGGTGATGATGAGGAGACTGAGCACCACCGACCACCAGGTGATGTACTGCGAGTTGGACAGGAGCAGGAAGTAGTCGGCACTCTTCCTCATGCGGCCGAAGCTGTAGTAGCGGAACATGTGGAAGACGTAGTTCTCCACTTTGTGAGTCGCGTCCTGCAACAAATACTACAAGCATCACTGTTTCTAGCAGGGGCGGGCGATCTGACCCTAAAATAATGTCATGACGTCAGGGTGATGTTGCACTTACAATATTCTTGAAGATGTGACAAACAAACACCAAATACAGTACAGGATCTGAGCACTTCCTCCAACACTAGTGTGTGTGTGTGTGTGTGTGTGTGTGTACCTGTATGACGCTCAGTGTGTTGTTCAGGTCTTTGCTGACTTCCTCTTTCTTCTTCTTCTCTTCCTCTTTGTGCTTGCTGGGGTCTTTGAAGCCGTCGTAGTAAACGCCGAAGCTGAGGAAGACCTGCATGGTGCCGAAGCGGTTGTGGAAGTTGCTCAAACACATCTGGTAGAAACCTGCAGACACACGACACGTGAGACAGAACATACACACGGTGTGTGAAACCTTCCTGCAGCTCAAACTGGAGAGATGAAGGTCATTAAGATTATTAATTAATTAGTGATGCATTCATGTGTTCATCACTAAATGTTGTAGCTGCTAAATGAAACATCATCATTTATTTGTTGACCTTTATTAACCCAACTCTGCAAAGTCACTGTTGACTAAACTTATCAAATAAATGCAGTGCAGTAAAAAGGACAATATTTCCCTGTCGTGAAGTCAGAGCAGCAGAACATGTAAATATTCTAGTACTGTAAGTAGCTCAAAACTGTATTGAAGTGCAGTACTTGAGTAAATGTACTTAGTTACTTCCTCACTCATTTCATTATCAGTAAAATAAAGAATGAATTAAAGCAGGAAAAACAGTTTGACACTGAGCACTGCGGTGTGGGGAGTGTGTGCAGATGAACGGTGCCTCCAGAGCTCTCTGCCCATCCGCCAGCCTTCATCCAACAGATGACGTGAAATGATTTGTTACCGACACGAGATGAGGCGTCATCCAGGGGATCGTTTGCTTCCTGGCACTGCTGGCACGTGGTGAAGCCAAACACCGCTCACCTGCACACACTCCCCACACCTCAGAGACACAGACCTGGTTGAAAAGCAGCAAAGCTTCCCTTTAAGTTACATCAATCATTTAAATGACATTTATTTGTGGTTTTAGTAATGTGTTAATGTTGAGACAGCTTTCTGCACATCTTTACTTCACTGCTTCAACTGTTACGAAGTAAACGTTGATTGCAAAACATAACGGCTATAAAATAACGATTTTTTTTTTCTTCCCTATAGGCCTTGCTTTCACTCTACACTTCTGTCTGCCACCAGCTCTGATTTCTCTAGAAATGAAGGCTCCATTTACAGCTGGAAGGAAGTGTGGCAACCATTGAGCAACCAAAACAGGAAGACGATGGTGCTTTTGTTTTCCCCAGTCAGTAGCTACTGGTAGCAATCACCAGTTACCAAAGAGTACCAGTCTAGGTTCTTTGCAGTTGGTATTTCCAGCAGTGGAAATGATGTGTGTCTGTGATATTGTAGCTGAAGGAGATCTGGGGCCTCATTTATGACACTAAATGTTTGTGTACGTACAAATGAGGAAATGTACGAACACCAAAAAATATTCAGATTTATAAAACAGTGCGTCTGCCTATCAGTACGCACTTTCCTTCCAAATCAACTTGGAGTTGTGCGCACATGGACCAGCCTGGTATCCTGCCCTCTACGTGCTCACATACAACCATAAATGGTCAGTGCGAAGTGAGTTGCTTGTGTGTGAGCTGGAGGTTAGAAAGCACACAGTCAGACAGACAGACAGACAGTCAGACAGTCAGACAGACAGTCAGTCAGTCAGACAGACAGACAGACAGACAGACAGACAGCTACCTGTTTCCTCTGCCTCAAAGTTGATCTGACCCTTGGCATCATCAACATTCGACACTATGAGACCGCCGGGAGCGTTGACGGTGACGGACAGGTGTCTATCATGGCCGACTCCCGTCACCCACTGGACCTGCAGACACACAGACAGACACACAGACAGACAGTAACAGCAGAAAGAGTTCGGTGTATGTTCACATGTACTTTAGGATGTATATATATGACTATGTATAAAATACATATTAAAACACTACTGTACTATATATAAAATAAAAGTCTAAGTGAACATAAAAGGTGTGAAAACTTCATTTCTCAGTGAGCTTCTTACTTTGTGTCTGCGTTCTGTACAAACACAAGATTTTCTGCCAAATAATTTCCTATGAAAGATTTTCTGTATGTTTTGTTTCGCCTGAACGTCTGATCGATTCAGAGCGGGAAAACATTTTGGAATGGATATTTAATCTTACACAGAAATGCTTCAGATTTGAAACCGTATTTTCTGCAGCTTAAAAGAAGGTAAACACAAAAGAAAGACAAAACTCATGTTGAGGGAAACGTGTCGAGGCCTCGGCTTCTCTTCTTACCATGAAGTGCAAGTAGAATCTTTCTCCGCGATGAGCAAAGTGCCAGAAACACTCCAGCCCTGCAGCAGGAAGCACCACCGAGAAGTCGTACTGGTCGCTGCCCCAGAACAGCTCCTGGTCTGTTATGTTGGGGTGGAGGTTCGTCTGGGGCCCGCCATGAACCGGACCCCAAAACACCAGGATGAGAAATAAGAAGGCAATCTTGAAGAACATGTCTGAGAACATGGAGAGTTCTCCTCTAGATGAAAAGCTGCAGGTTGAGTCTGTGTGGAGCGATCAGGAATGATTAACTGGCACCAACACGTTGCTTCTGTCAGTGGGAAAAGTGGGCTGAGTCCACAGATGGAGTCACTGTGACACAGACGAATGACTGATCCCACTGCGGGACTGAAGGAGAGAATAAAAGCAAAGACCACACAGGGTCAAGTTATGTCTCAGTATGATGAGGAACATTTATATGAGATTATAGAGGTTACAATTAAGACTTAGGTTGAGAATTATTTTCCCACCTGCTGCATCCGAGCATGAAGCTGTTCACATGCTGAAAATCAGGATGATCTCAGTCTTAATGGAAACAGGAGGATTCAGGTTCATCTGGACACTCGAAGGACTTCACAAAGAACCAAAACTGTGGAGACAACATGGAAACAAGACTTAGAGTCTGAGGCCATGCTTCAATTCAGATGTTTAGCAGATATGTTTACCATCTTAGTTTGCTGTGTTAGCATGCTAACATTTACCAATCAGCAGTAAACACAGAGTACAGCTGAGGCCAGCGCTGGACTCCAACTGTCTGAGGGGCAGCAGTGGAAAACTTAACATAAAAAGGGCACCAACAGCATGCAGTAGGGCACCAGCAGGCACAAAAGCTTTATAGAACAGGGCAGCCTTCATGGGACCACGTTACATTTTCTCAGTTTTAAGGGCACATCAACTTGTTTTCTCCACTGGAAGGTAACTTCTTCTCATTTTCTTTACCCGAAGGTCACCACAGAGGCCACTTCATCTTGTTTTCTCCACTGGAAGGGCACCCTAGATTGCATGTCAACTCATTTTCTCGACTAGAAAGACACAGTAGGAGCCACTTCATCTTCTCTCCAGGGGCACCCTAGAGGGACGTTGTTTTACAGACCATAGGGGCATCAGAAAGGACATTTTTGCTGCATCTTTCTTTTTATGTTTTTGGAACATGTGGTCAATAGTGATTTTCAGTCTTGCTGGTGGAGCAGCAAAAAATGCCCAGTTTGTCCTGAGGTTTGTCGTGCTCGAGGAACAGTGACAGAGTCAACAAAATCATAAGGGTTCATGCTCTAGAGGAGCAGGAATATTCAAAAGTAAATGTAATTACAATCATGCCAGCAGTTGCTGAACACATCTTGGTGTTGAACAAAACAAATAAATCAAGACAATAAAACCAGTTAGAAGCTGAGATTCTTTAAAGAGGTAGAGAGGATCTCGGTTTATTCGAAGTGTCTTGAAAAATGGAAACAGATCAACATATAAAAATCTCTGAAATCTCAAAAACAAATGTACAGTCACTGCAGTCCGATACATTCTTTGAAAAGTCAGATTCCCTTAGTTTTCTCTTAACAGTTTTGTCCAGGTTTGTCTGCGAGTCTCATTGGACTTTAGTTTAAACTGAAGGATACTTGAAGTGGTTTTCAGAGTCAAATAAATACCCATGTTCTTTATAAATGTCTGCAGGATGGAACTGATTTGACTCTGTACAGACAGAAGGAACATTTAATGACTTTAAGGTTTGCATTTTGATAAACAAGAGTGTTTCAGACTTTGTCCAGGACCCGCAGACGCCTGGTTTCACCTGGTGAGGTAAAATACTTAAGGAGTTTGTGGAAGATGATTTCTTGAATGATGAGTAAAGAAAACTCCCCTGAGTGAGCAGGAGGAAGAGGCAGCATGAAATAACCAGAGACACACTTTGCAATCAGCTGTTCATCCCATGAGGTTCATCCAGTTGAGAGGTGGTGAAGAAAAATGGTCCAGTCCTGACTGTGGTTTCATACAGATTGTACAGGGTTAAAAAAATAAAACATACAGAACATTTCACGTTCTATGGGAATGTCAAACAGGAGCTCAGTGAGGCTCCATACACAGTGCACAAGGTTAAATCTCACCGCACACACTTAACAGCTACGTTTTCATTTTCCAGACAGTGAAAGTCACAAACGGCACTTTGAGGGTACGAGGTGTCAGGAAAGATCCGTTCCTGAGGATATTTGTTATTTATGAGCCTGCTTACACCTGGTACTAACATGTTCTAGTGATCTGGAAACAAGAAGACGAGACAACTGAGACAAATCACCGTTTACGCCTGTGTCTATCATGTGTCTATCATGTGTCTATCATGTGTCTCTAGCTGCCTTCAGATGTTGTTATCGCCTACAACACTTCTGATAGAAGGTCCCCATAGTAATTAATTAAGTAAGTAAGTAATTAAGACGTAGCATGTGTACGTTTACACTAAAAAGATATGACACTGGTAATTGGTTTGAGTGATCAGATCACAATGCGTCAGAGTTGTCATTTACACTTGCGACCTGATTAGCCGAAACATGTTAATACCAGATATGAAGAGCACCTCAGCCAACGTGTCAACAGAGGAGATCGTCTCTGTGCTAAACACTTAGTGTAAATTATCTGAGTTTAAATAAAGACTACAAAGATAAAACCAGAGTCATGATCGCAGCTCTGTGAGGCTGTAATTAGACACAGCGTGCTTTGTGCTAAACGCTAACATGCTGATGATTAACAGGTGTTATGTTTACCACAGTCACTGCCTTAGCATGTTAGCATGCTAACGTCTGCAAATCAGCAGTAAAAACAAAGTACAGCTGCGGCTTTTCTGAATGTTGTTAGTGTTGCAGGTATTTGGTGCTAAACCAAAGTATTGGACACGTCACCAACTAATGGATCAATATTTCCATCCCTAACATCATGGTTAATAGAAATGAAATAATCAGTGTGATGTGCCATGTTATGAGGACGTCTTACGACAGATTTTAGTTCTGATTTTCGTAGCGTTTATGTCTTTTATCGTGCGTAGTACAGGAGTATTTTGGCATTGCAACTTTTACAGTCCGACAGCAAAACTTCACACTCAGGGTAGAAGTTATTTTTACTCTTTTCTTGAACGTTATGTGAATGAACCTGGCTTGATACAGTCATCTGAAGGTTCAGGTGTTTGAAACAAACAGTTGACGACATGGTTGTGCAGTTAATATGGTTTGGTGAAGCTGACTCACGTGAACAAACACAAAAAGGTAAGAGAGGTTTGGGGATGAGAATCCAGAGACGGTCTTGCAGAAGGCCAAATGTGTTGAGAAATGTAAAAACAGAACATTCAGAGTGACTTTTTTAAGGAAAGAAAAGAAGTTTGATCTAAGGAGGAATTTTGGAGTGTTTGATTCACTGATTGAGGCTTTCAAATAATCTAAGAAAAAAAGATAACTGATGATTTGATATGATTTCTTTTTACCTTTATAATATGATTTCTTAAAGGTTCCTGTGGAGTTTCAGAGCTCTCGTAGCACCATGGATCAGTTCCTGCTCTGTTTGTCTCGAGCACAAGGACGTACAAGAACACAAGTGATGAGATCCACAAACCTGCCAGTGGTGTTACAGTGGTGTTACAGTGGTGTTACAGTGGTGTTACACTATCCCACTGATCCACAGTTACAGTTATGTGCCAACAAAAGGTGCAAACAATACAGGACTTAAAATACTTTACGAGTCAGCGCTGCAAATGTTTTGATGAGGGAAATAAGCGTAATACATTTGTTGAATCTCAGGAAACCACAAGAGGAAACTCCACAGGGGCCCGAAATAGATGATATTATTTTAACTGAAAGGAAGGATCATTATTATTATGTTGATGCACACGGTGCAGATCAACTTCTACAGAAGTAAAATAAATCAGTTTAAGGGTTCCCCCAAAATGTGAGGAAACAAATTCTATGATTATTGGTCAAATAAAGATTCCAGTAATCAGTAACTGCTCCAAGAAGATCCAGCATCTTAATGAGCACATTTAAAAAAACATTCAGACTCCTCCACTGATTAATGAGGAAGAAACCCTCCTAAAGATTCTGCACACAGCGTCGGCCTCCAGTCAGTCTGACCAGGTTACATCTTTAGTTTCTCCTGTAGGGATGATGCTCCTCCACCTGACAGGAAGGTCAGAGGTCGGGCGTTAGAGGTGGAGATTGAGCATAATGCAGCAGAATCTGAGCCCAGTTCCTCTGACTCAGTGACAGACTGCAGGTAAAGATGAGCTCTGCAAACCCAGCTGGACTCTGCAGGTTCATCACCACCATGAAACACCACCACTGTGCAGTGTTTGACTGACAGCTTCTCACACGGAGAACTCTGCCCCGCCCCTCCAGGCGCGTCTGTGGATCAGGGTTGGTAGTTTGAGTCCAGCGAAGGGGCTGATCCACTGCAGCGACGGCTGACCTCCAAACACCGACCTCAGCCCCGCCCAGCGAGTCTGACGCTCCCAGGTCGGCTTCTCGTTCTTCAGACGCTCGATCTCCTGACACACAAACACAAACACACATCTTTGTTAGTGACAGAGACACACACAACATCATTACACACACAGACACACACACAGGACTGGGTACTGAACTTGGACTGAATTGCTTCGATACCATCAGCCTGTCATTTGATACCTAAAGGAGTAAATCTCAGCCAATGGAGGCAGCAGCACATAACAAAGCAGCACACTGCAATTGGCCCCTCTGAGGACAGAAACAGGAGAGGAAATACACGATTACAGGCCTGGAGTTAAGATATTTTTAGGGCAAGGCCACTTTGGCCTTTGATAAATACAAATTTATTGGGGCATCACGGCCAAAATGTGGGGCACCAAGGCCAAAACCAATGGCGCAATAACAATATGTGCTAACTACATTGAATGAAGACAAAACAATATATGTGCTGAAAAACAGCACTGAGTTTATTAAAACTGGGTGTGCATGACTGGGGATATATCTCATTTCTTGTTGTTTTGATTCATATCCCTTATTTTTAAAGTCTTTGAAATCTCTTTATTCTTTTGTTATCTCCTAGTTATTAAGAAATTATTATTAGAAGAAGATTCTTTATTGTCCTTTCTCAGCACATTACATACATTTGACCTCTGCATTTGACCCATCCTACTGTATACACTGGGAGCAGTGGGCAGCCGCAGTGCAGCGTCTGGGGACCAACTCCAGTTCTTTTGCCAATGCCAGTGGTCGGGGTCACTGAAAGGAGTATTTACCTAACATAGCCTACATATCTTAAATTATATAATTATTTATATGTCTCTATGTATATTTTTACATTAATCCCCAATATTTTATTTGACTTTAAAAAATCCTCTTCCTTCATTTAATTTAACACTGTTTATTGTATTGTATTATATGTATTAATTCTGTACAGGATCTTGTATGTTCTTTAATGTGTGCTCAATTTATTAAAAGAAAAAAACAAAAAAACATTTTGGTGAACCCTGCAGCAAAGTGAACCCTCTTCCTCAGAGAGGATCTTTGCCTCCCAGTTTGTTCCTGGCGGCAGAGCAGAGTGAACCGTCTTTCTTCTCAGAGGATCTTTGTCCCATGAGAGCAGGCAGCAGGCTGTTCTTATCTATCGCTCTGCTCTCCGTGTCCGCATTTAAAACATCTTTCGCTGGTGATTTGACAGTCACTAGAAGCACATTATGACCCTTTGTAAAAGTTTCTGTGGTACCTGTGTTGTACATGAGCTA